GGGGGGGGGGGGGGGGGGGTGGTATCCTATCAGGATCTCAGTGGGCCAAACACCACTTCCTCAGGCGACGGAGCTTGGCATCAAGGTCAATCAGCACAGCGCACACGAACATGGGCAGCGGGGCGCGCCGCCCGACGGACGCCGCTGCAACGAAAGCGACCGCCCCCGCGCAGGCCTCGGGCCCTCACCATACATCGGGCGGTGCAGCAGCAGCACCAGCCAGGGCGTCCTGCAGCGGTCCACCTTTGCCAGCTCAGCGTCCAGCCAGGCGTGCTGCGGGCTGCCGGGCGCGAGGTCGTGCTCGGTGGAAATCGCGGTGAAGTGCACGCCGCCATACTCAAAGCCGTACCAGAAGGGGGGGTTGTCGCCGCGCAGGCCGGGCATCATGAAGTGCCGCGCGAGCATGACGCCGCACTCGCCGCCGCTGTCGGGGCCGTAGTTGCCCCAGCCCGGCGCATAGGGCTTGCAGCCGCTGGGGTCGCTGGCGGCGCCGCCCTCATAGCCTGGGGGGGGAGGTGGGAGGTGCCAGCAACGACCGTGCGTCAGCCGCCCTTGCTTGTGACGTCACACATGACAGGGCAGGCAAAATCTGGGCGCTGCTTGAGTGGACTGTGCCGGGCAAGCAGAGGGGTCGGCAGCTAGGCCCCGCAGAAGAAGCGCGCGTGCTTTGCAAGCAAGTATGCCCACACATATGCCCACGCACACACGCCCACTGCACTCCCACTCATACACACGAGCGCATGCACACACGCGTGTGAAGACAGGCATGTTGCGCCCCGCGCACCATACTCGTGGTTGCCCGTGACCACCATGTAGGGGACCCGCGACGCCAGAGGCTCAATGCCGGCCATGAAGGAGTCCCACATATCAGGGTTACCCTTGGCTGCGGGGGCAGGGGGGGCAGTGGGCACCGCCGTGTTGTGAGCACGCAAGGGCGCGGTGCGCTTCGCCCGCTTGGGACCACTGGCGGCAGCATCAACAAGCTGGGGTCAACCTAAGCGGCCAATCACTTGTGTTCGTCTATAGTAATTTCGTTGATCATGTTGGTTTGACAATTAGCATGGAGGATGCTTTCATCCCACGCCGTGTATTTGGAGCGATGGCCGACACCACGGCAGCTGGTGTGTCTCCCGGTACCGCCAACCCACCGTAGCTGATGTCACCGACGTGCACGGCCAGCTCCAGCCAGGGCTGCTCCTGCTGCAAAGCCGACAGCGTCAGGGGTGCGCTGCCACAGGGGTGTGGGGGGAGACAAGGCGGGGCGGTGTGTGCTCAGCGGGGCCGTCACCCTGCTGCCCAGCCCAATCCTGTGCGGGGGAGCACGGCGCCAGGCATCTGCTGCAGGCTGGGCACACGCTGATGCAGGTGGTTTCCAGCAGCTGAGAAATGTCACCCCCACCAGCCACTGAAGCGGGTGCATGTGAACGATTGATTTGCTGCTTGCTGCACTGCCCAAGGCCGCCCCTTGCCCTGATGTCGGGCACTCACCCCGGTGACTTGGCAGCCGCATGCTCGCCGTCCCCCATGTCCCCAAAGGCCACAAACTTGAACTTCCCCCCAGGGGCCGGCTGCGCCCGGAACGGCCGGGCAACATCGCTGCCGGGCAGGAGGTAGCGGTAGCGGCCGCCGGGCACGAGGCCGGTTATCACGGCGCGATGCAGATAGTGCGCGAAGGGGTTCGAGGCTGCCGGGTCCGAGCACATGTCCCGCTCCTGAGGGCGGCAGGGCAGGTGCGTTTGCGGCGCCGCGTGAGGCAGCGGCAGAGGAGGGGCCGAAGGGGGGAAGAGGAGAGGGCGGGCAGGCGCGTTGGGTGGCAGCTGGCTGCGCAGAAGATGTGGCGGCTGATGAAGGGGCCGCCCGTGTTCTTGGGTGACTCTGACAAAAGCTCCATGGGCGCAGGGAGGCAGCAGCAACTGCAGGTGCGAGTGCTGCTGCGCACCGACAGCAGGAAGGAGTAGCCGGTTGCGCTCTGCAGGCCGCCTGCGGGTTTGTCGCCGCCGTTAGGGCCGCGCACAAGCCACCACGACACCTCAGAAGGGCAGCTGCGCGTGCAATTTCAGCAGGCAACCTAGTGAGGTGGGGCTCGATACACTGGACATTTGTGTGTGAGTGGGGCGCATATCAATTAAACCTCACAAACAGGGTTAAGCAAGCGCCTCCCAGCAACACGCAAACCCTTGCACATCAACTCGCAGCGCCTTCAAGTGTGCTTCTTACTTGGCGCCGTCTGTCTTCCAACTGACATGGATTTTGCTCGCCTCGTCCGACAACGCAATGTGCACCTGCACGACAGCGAAATCGTGGCACGAAGGGTCGCTCACACCATGTGGATCCTGGCAAAGGACTCCAATCGCTCGCCATGCAGTGACACCGCTGCGCCGCCTACTGGGCCGGCGCAGCACACCTGCTGCGGTGCGCACTCAGGGTCGTTGCTATTAATTAATCCATGTACACCCTTCACACGTGCTGCCAAGGCGCCTGTGGCCAGTAGCAGCGCGCCAAGCACGGCCAACGCGGGCTGCATGGCATGCTAGAACAAATAGCAAGCGGTATGATGGCGCCAAAAGAAAGCGATTACCAGTGCCTGAACAGATCAAGTACACGTTGCCCAGTGGGACGGAGGGAGCCGGCTCCCAACTGAACGAGCAGGACCCCGACACTCCACTCACAGCTTCCCTGTATGTGGTGGATTGGCCAATGCATCAAAAGCCTCCATCATCCTAAGACATGCAGCGGTACATGCGTTTGCTAAGCCTGCGAAACCAGCACTGCGCACTGGCGACCCTCGGCGTTCTTGCTCAGGTGCTTGCAGACTTGCCGGCGGACTTGTCGCGTGCGGGCGCGCCTGGGCTGGTACAACAAGGCAGCGGCGCTCCCCAACCGGCCGGCCGCCGTCGCCTGAAGCCCGACAGCTGCCGGCTCAGCCGCTCAGACATAGTTATTGAGCAGCAGCCGCAAGTGCCTGGCGGGGAGCTCAGACTGTGCATGTGGTTGAATTGAAGTACACTATGGATTACGACCTCGACAGGGTTTAGGACATTGCTGAGAGCCAACACCGCCTGCTTATGGAGCGGCTGTCCTCACAGCCGGGCCAACTTGCCCGCCTGCACGTTATCTCGCTTGGGGTCGCCAGGGGGATGCAACATGCCCTTGACCCAACTCTGCTGCAGCTAGGAGTGGAGCAGACGAACCTGGCTCGAGTGCGCCGCAACCTGCATAGCAGTGCTTTGTGCCACACCCATTGGGTCATTACAGCGCGCCGGGCGCTGGAGGGGTCTAGGCGGAAGCGGCGGCGGCCGGTGTCACACGCAGTGGCGAGGACGAGGCCGCAGCGGGAACCGGAACCCCGGGTTGGTGCACAAACGGCCGAGCGGATCCCGCCTATGTCCACTCGAAGTCATAGACAAAAAGTGTGTGCGAGGCGACACCGCAAGGAACAGCCTAAGGGCGTCACCTGAGAGTCCCTACCCGCCAACGGGGGTCCCCAGGTCCCCCACTCTCGTGGGGCAGCGGGGGAAATGGCGGATGCCCTGACCCTCGCGCCCGTCCTTAATACATACAGTACTGCGCACCCAGCGCCTGGTCCACTCTACTCTACTCTACCCTACGGACAAACAACTCTGCTGCATGCAATTTGAAGATGATCCAGTGGACAGGCCAACCTGCAGATGACGAGTTGCCAACAACAGCCAGAGGGGTAACGCCGCGAGGTATTTTTTTGGCAGATAGAGGGGCTGCGGCGCGAGGCGTTTGCACTGACGCGTGCGTGGCTCACCACTTGGCTCACCACTTGGCAAGTTGGCCTAAACCAATATCGTTTTTTGGGATCTGCTGGGCGCAAGTATGACATGCATGTCAGTTGGGATGCACCTGACCCGACTGTTTCAAGTGTGCCGAAAGATGTTCTGCAACCTTTTGTGCTTGATGCAATTCGTTGCCGCATTTATACACTTGCAAGGTCATAATGCATTGAAAATTGTTGGTTGCAACAAACCGCAACAGTGTTGTCGGCCCCCTCGTAGAAGGTACCGGTTATTGCAATGTGGAATTAACCAGCGTGCAGGCAGGAGTGCCCATCATTGGGCTGGTGCACTGCAAAGAGACTTGTGAATCGAGTGAGCAGACACAGCTGACCTAATAGCAGCGCGACAAGGGTGCCAAACAAGCAAGAATCATGCCCAAGTGCGTTCAGTTTGGAAAGCATGCTGAGCATGCCGTGCCCTCTTTTGTGAGCTTACAGAACGGTACAGTTGCTGGGCACCTGCAACTTATGATAGTGGTGAGCAAATTTTCTGCTGGTTCGCAAACAATCCTTCTGTTCAGCTGCACGGAGCTCTGCTGCTCCAACCGCCGCTCCACCAGCCAACCCATACCGCGCCTGCACTGTATGTGCTGCTGATCTCCCACAACTCGCACTCCGAAATCCGTGTCGGACTATCAACCCAGGGGAGCCTCAGATATCGCCGCCTTGCACGCACACTGGGCAAGTTTGCTCTCACCGGCCCGAGTGAGTGCGACACACTTGAAACAAACTCGAGATCGGTGCCGAGTCGCTCTGCATAAGATTATGCCTTGTTTAATCCGCACTCGATTGTCATATAGGCTATGACGCCTCGCGTGGCATGAAATTACACAACCCCCTGGAGCAACACGTCCAGAAATGGTGAACGCCATGGCGAAGCATGACCTCAAGCCTTGACGGTAGATGTAGCAGCCCTGGAGCGGCAGCAGCGCAGGAGTGGCTCCACAAGCTGAGCGCCGCGCTACCGTCCTGGCGCGTCATGGCGCAAACGCTCGGCCTGCGGCGTTTGCAGGATCTGATTCAGGTGTGCGCAAGGCATGCATCATCAAGTGGTGGTGCTGGATTTTTTAGCGAAGCGGTCTCGTTGAGCGTAAAGCTGGTGCATGCACGCATGGCGGCGCTCTCCACCCGCTGCTCTGGGACGCTTCGGGTGCAGGGCACGTGCTCTCTTTCAGACCAGCCGGTTTGGCTGCTCGGCATCTGGTATGGCGTCAGCAACCAGGACACTGGCGCTGCGTCGCTGACGCCTGAGGTGCGCTCGCTTTGCTTTGCGGCAGCAGCCCGCGGCCTCCTCGCGTGTCGCTGCTGGTGAGGTGCGGCTGAAGCTTCCAATGAGCGGACTTGTGAACTGCACCCTGACGCCAGCGGCCGTCCTGGCGCACACATGGCTTACAGGTTGAGGCGGCGCTGCTGCAGGACTTCAGCGCGCGGCTTTGGTTCACGTACAGGCGGGGAGTTCCCCGCCATAGGTGGGCAGGGCGAAGG